ATAGAATCTAACCAGCTGGAAGCTCCAGGGTTGCCCAGTACAGCAGCAGCGCAGCAAAAATGGCGGAGAGTTAATGAGAGTTCCTTCCTTCTTTCCTGATCCCATCTTTTCCCAGAAGTAGGCATTCCGTGGAGCCTATTTCCCGGAGCTTCCTTTGTTTTCCCAGACAGTTGAACAGCCAGGCTAAACCCGATAGCACTGCTTAGCCCCTGCTTTCCAGACTTGGGGGTGTTTACATACCCGATCTTTCTTTCTTTGAGTTTTAATGGGCGCGCACAAGGCTCCCTCTCACTGGACGATGGATCACTTGTTTCAAATGTGAAAATGAATCACCTGGGAGAGTTTCTTACCAACCAGTGAGAAAGTGGAGCCCAGCTTGTGGGGTTGTCAAACTGGTGTAGGAAATCAATGGGCTTGGATTCAATTCAAGAAATATTTCTTAAGCACCTATGGTGTACCACAATTCAAGAAGTATTTATTTATTAAGTGCCACTGTGTACTAGGCACTGGTGAAACAAAGACAGAGAGGAAAGAGTCCCTGCTGTCAAGTTTATATTCTAAGCTTCCCTTATCGTACACAAATACACACACACACACACACACACACACACACACACACACACAGAGTACCTAAGCCAGTGCTCATGCATCTACTAGGTATTTAATTAGTATTTCTAGTGTGGAAGGAAAGGATGCTGCAGTAAAGAAATCAGGAAAAAAATCAGAAGTCCTTATTTGTGAAAAACAGTAATATAGATTTTTCTTTACCTTCTTTTCTTTCTTTCCCCTTTCTCATCTTTCCTTTTCATTTATTTCCTTTCCTTTTTTCTTTTTTCTCTTCTCTCTTCCATTTCCTCTTCTTTCCTTTCCTCTTTTTTCCTTCTTTTCTCCCTTCTCTCTTCTCTTGTCTTTTGTCTTCTCTTCTTTTATTTCCTTTGGTCCAAACCTGTGATTTCATCGATAGGGAAATCTCTTGGTGTGGGAACTGTCCACTGATACAAATTTTGTCCACCAGGCCATAACTTACAACTTTAAAGAGTTGTGTGGGAGCACTTGGACACAATCATGTAGTCATTCCATTCAGAGGTAAAACTCAAATCCAAATCCAGGTCTTTCAACTCCAAGGATGGCCATGTTTCTGCCATGCCACATTGCTTTTCACTTTTTGACATTATGGTAGAATTATCTATGGAAATCTCACCATTGAAATGTGTCTAGATTAATTAGGGTCCTATAATGTTTTCCTGGGTCTCAAAACCAGAAGTCAATGGGATGGGGTTCCCAATCACCAGCCGCTTTGCTTTAATTTGAAACTCTAACCTTAACTTCCACTCCCCTCATATTTTTCCTTAACCTGTCTAACATTTCAAGTGTGAAAGAATGAATAATGTCCTAACCCACTAACCAGCTTGAAAGGGCATTTCTTTCAATGTTCCCTAATACTACTCCCATTTCCCATTTTTTTCACTCATGAGTTGTTTAATTGAATTAAGTTCATAGTGAGGAGAACTTGTGTCATGCAAGGCAGTGCTAGGCCACCCAGGACACTAAATTTAATTCAACAAGCATTTATTAATCACCTACCGGGGGCCCAATACTGTACTAGGAGCTGGCGATTCAGAGATATGGGTTGCTCCTGAAATTTCTTAAAATTTGATAACCTGAAACAAAAGACTGAAGATTGCAAATAGGAAGATCTCAGCTCAGCAGAGTATCCTTTCACAGTCTGCTTTCCCAGAAAAAATGGAGGAGGAGGAAATCCATGCTTTTCCCTGGAAAGAGTTACAAATTTTCTCCAGTGACTTCTAATTGGGGATGCAAAAGAGAGAGACCTGGCATATGAGATCTGGATACAGAGACCCATGTTTGAATTTTGCCTCAACCATGTATTACATACGTGACCTCGGGCAAGTCACCTTTTCTGAGACTGTGTTTTTCCCCTTTGTAAAATAAATTAGACTGGATGACCACGGAGGGCCCTCTAGCCCTAGATCTAAGATCTCATTATCCTCACTTCACCTACAATTTCAGTTTCCTCATCTATAAATGAGAGTTATACTAGAAGGTCTCCAACACCCCTTCAAACTCCAAATCTGGGTTCCTGCTACCCAAGGTTACTTCCCCACATTGGGCCTTAGCCTTTTTATCTGTAAAATAAGGGGATTGGGCCACAGGCCTCTAGCTCCACACCTAGGATCTTATCATTTCTGGTCCTCTGAAAGTACGACTCTCCAGTAGATGCTAAAATACACCACATACTACCTTTAGATGATTCGGCACTTCCGTGGCACCTGTGACTTCATCTCATCTCCCTCCCTTGGTTCTGATCACACCCCATGCACACCGGTGCTAGTCAGATCCTGTCCACACCCTCTAATTTAGGTCCATTTTTATCCATTTCCTCCCATAAATCTCCCATCTGTGCAGTTTGCTACAGACCTTCCTGTAGGCCTTCTGGTGTTCTGCAGCATACTAACTCCCCATGTTGAAAAACCAAAAAAGAAAAGAAAAATAAAGATATAGAAACACACCAAACCGATCTCCAGCAACAAAACATTCCTTCTGAAAGTATTTCACTGGCACCTACTAAAGCTACCCTGTTTCTCTCATTACATGGAGAATTATTACTAGGAACAATTTACACAATGAATGATTTTTCCAGCCCTGTCCCTAAAATAGGCATGTAATGTAACTTTTAAAATGTCGCCATGCCCAACTGGAAGGCATGACAGCCTACCAAGGAAGAATATAAGGGCACTTATGTTAGTTGTGGTAAAAAAAATCTCATCTCAGGACCTATCTAACAAAGGAAACAGGACCTGGGAACACATTTCTATGAGAGAGAAAAAAAAATAGAAATAGGGTAAGGCCGCTCTCCATTCCCTGTGGGAAATAACCTGGCAAAATGCTTTAAAAAAAAAAACCCAGTCAATTCCCCTTACTCTCAAAAATTACTGAACCTGTCACCCTTGTATCTGAAGGCATAGCTTACAGTTAATCCAAAGAAAGAATGTTTCTTTTGAATTGTTTTTAGGTGTTTTGGAAATGATTTTGTCATAGTCGTTACAGCCAAATTCCCATAAAAGGCCAACTCTCTGGTGTGTTCTGTAAGAGAGCTGGCTTTGATTTGAGACAGGGCTTTGGTTTTGATCTGATAAACAGAAAGTGCCCTTTTTTCCCCCTGTGGTCCTTAAGTCAACAAGCACTTATTAAGCACCTACAGTGTGTCAGGCACTGTGTGGAGCATCTTAAAATACTGAGCAGCATCTGTGGTGTCCCTTCAAAATCCTGACATAAAGTCAGAAGGCCTTGCTAGTCCCCATCCGTTACAGCCACCTGACCTCCCTGACCTCTGCTCGTTATTGAAGAGCCCTGGATCTTGGAGCCACAGGAAGCGAATTCTGTTAGTGATTCCGCCACTTCCTACCATGGTGACCTGGGTGGAGCTCTTCGCTCCTCTGAGCCTCAGTTTCCTCATCTGTAATATGAGACTATTGGAGCCAGATGGCTCTGGGGGCCCTTCCAGCTCTAAGTCTGTCACCCTGGGACCTTGTTATTATGGGATGACTTCACGAGCCACTTACTCCATTATTACGCCATTATTCCAATTACTGTTATTACAATTATTATTCCATTACTCCAATTACTCCATTATTCCTCTGGCTCCTGTCTCTTCAAATACTACCTTGTGACCTTGAGCAAATCACTTAACCTACCTAGGCCTCAGTTTCTCCCCCTAAAAGATGAGAGAGTTGGACGTGATAGCCTCTTGGGTCCCTCCCATCCCTAGAACTGTGACCCTCTGGTCCATAATCTCTTCCTTATTGACCTCTGCAACCCCATGCAGCCCTACCTAGATCGACGATCCTATCATCCGTGGGTTCATCAGTGTTGGTGTTTCCTCCCAAGGTGAAGGCCACTGCTCATCCAAGCTTCCCCATCCTATAGGTCTCCTGTCCGTGAGTTTCCATTGATTTGTCATGGCAGAGGCAAAAACGAATGAAAACAGGACAAAGTCACGGAACCCTCTAAATCTGATGTTCTGAAACTTTTGTGTCAGGGGCCTCTTTTGTCCATCTGGTGAGACCTGTGGATCCCTTCTCAGCATAATATTTTAAATGCACGAAATAAAAAACAGAATTGCAAAAGGAAATCAATTATATTGAAATGAAGTTATCAAAATATATATTAAAAATAAGTTCGTGAACCCCACTTCTAAATTGGATCAATGTCTTTGAATGAAAGTAGTGTGAAACCCTTGAAAACGGCAAAATTTTGAGGTCACTGTGAAGAGCAGAGGAAAGATGAAGCCATTTCAATATGGCGCCTGGACAGCTGCAGCTTTGCTAGCACTTCGTGGGATGTACATGCAGGTGGTGAGGGTTCTCTTTTCTGGAGGCTCCATTTTACATGTCATAAAGATGCCAGGCACCATATGGGCCCTAGAAAGGTAGCTTGTTTAAAGTGGGTTTTTCATTTTTCCCCTAGAACTCTTGAATTCCTGATTTTTTTTTTGAAGGCTTTATCCAGATTATAGCATTACACAAATATTCCGTGACTTTCAGAAACGCACCAGGGTGAAAAGCCGGGTTGTGAAAAGATCTTCCGACTTTATTTCATTCTTCCCTGTGCTCTAAAGGCCACAGGTGCAGTGCTGCATGCAGGCACTCGGGTAAAATTCAGATGGCCCTCCTTGCCAATGCATCCTAATTTCCTAATTTGTTCAGTGGTAAGAGGTGGAGGGAGGGGGAGGAAGCCAAGATGTCCCTAACAATGTATTTTTTACCTGCCAGTCATTTGAAAAATGATCTCCTGCCCTCCACTTACCCTTTCTTTGTCATTTTCTAGATAGCTCTCACTAGCCCCAAAGCCTTGCTAGCTAAAATGTGTGCCCATTTCTCTGTTAATCAGCTGCTTGGGCTCTGAGAATGTGTGTTCTGGTGTTGTTTGTGTGCATTCTGGTGCTGCTTCCTGAACGCATGTGTCCCTTCCCTTCACAGCCTACTCGACACCCAGCACCTCCCCCGCAAACCGATTCGTCAGTGTTGGACCCCGGGATCCAAGCTTTGTAAATATCCCTCAACAGACACAGGTGGGCCGATCTCCTCTTTTCTGTATCTGGTGCATTTCCGCTGGTCTCTTGGCACGGCGAGCTACATGGTCTCATCCTTCTGCAGAGCCCCTCGTCTCCGAGCAGTCCTGCTTCCTTAACTCCCTGGGTGTCCTTAGAACTTGTGAAGGAAAGATTTAGGGACTAGAAGGAAAGAGCTCTCCTCCTAGGGCTGCTTCAGGGGATAATCTGGAAACCTTCCAGGTACCAGGAAGAGACTGTAACGGCTGTTCGGAATCTCTTACCTTGCATCTCCCCAAAAAGTTGAGCTAGGAAGTCAGTCACACTCGAGCAAAAGCAAGTCGCGCCCTGCCACTGTCATTGCTTTATCTGACTCTGGGAACTGGGAAACCAGTGGCTCTGTATTTTTCATAATGGAATCGGGAGCCCAGGCCAATATGGTTGTTGTCTGGCCCTTTGGGAAAAAGAAAACATTTTATGAGCCCTATTGAATTCTTGACGTTGGTCCAAAAGTTACTTGATGGCAGTTTTGTTAGTGACTAATTCAAGCCAGATGTAAGGTGCACTAAGTGGGGACAGGGGGTGGTGTTTATAATAGACCATGAGATGTGGTCAGGTAGGCAAGAAAATCATGCCCCAGAATAGAGTGAGCTGTTGGGTTAGAATCACTTCACAATTATCTTTCCGGGTAAAGAATAGTTAAAGCACTTCTATTATTTTGAAATGGCTGCTACCAGTTAAGAGACAATACTCGGCATTTGGGGTCAAAAGGTAAACCGAGTCAAGGGATTCGGAACTCTGCAGAAGCCGCTCTGTGTCCTAGGGGAGAGAGGGAGGAGTTTCTCGGTTCAGGATGAGAACCTGAGCGTCCATTCTCTCGTCTGCCGTGGGCGTGAGGCCCACATTTCCCGCACGTGCTTGCCACCGAACGCCACCGCTGTCAGAGACGGCCTGTGCTTTTGTGTGTGTGTTCCCAGTGCATGCCTACGTCACCTCCAGATGCTTCCTCTGTTGCCTCTATTAACCTCCGCCTGTAAGAAGTGACAAGGTGCCCATGAGCAGGATGGATCTGCCTCCCCGGGACCGTTTGCTCCATGTGTAAAAAGGCTCTCTTTTATGGCTACATCAACAGTACAGGTTACAGGACATTGTATTTGAGACCTTCCCTGCATTAAGCAGGGTCACAGAAAGTACAGGCAGCTGGGGTGGGAGTGGGGGGAGGGAGAGGTGAGGGGAAGGAGGAGGAGGAGGAGAGAGGTTTAACTCTTCCACTCCCAACATCTTCCTTCATCTATGGGAATCCAGCTCCCATCAAGCACTGGGATAGGAGACTCCCTCTTCAGTGCCTCCCAGAAAACTCCAAGTTCAGACCTGACTTTGAGAAGCCCGAGTCTTCCCTATGGTTTGAAAAATGACTTTAAGTTCCCCTGAATGAACCGAAATAGAGAAAACAGGCTTTCAGGCCGTGCTGTTAATACCTTCAGCCGCTCGGGTTTCTCCATTATAGTTCAGGAAAACTAAACTCAGGGAAACAACAACTCTCCTGGATGTTTTGTTTTCTTTTGTTCCATTGCTCAGGCTTTTTCAAGTAGTTTTGTACACCCATTAGTGCATTGAATACCGACCACCCTCTCCCCCCCAAAAAAAATTATAGCTTACAAATTATATTGAACTATCCCCTTGGTTTTTTGCATAGGCAATAATCCACAATGCTGAGCCCTGGCCCTGAGTTCCATCCAGATTATAGTTCCATTTAAGAGAGGGATAACACAGCCTGTGTCGTCCCATCGAGCAGATGCGTTCCTCTGGTGGCGTGTTATAGTGGAAAAAGTAGGAATCCAAATTCAAATCCGAGTGAATCTGTCATTTACCGTCATTGTGATCTGGGGTAATTTGCTTTTTCTCTGGGCCTCAGTTTCCTCATTTGTATAATCAAGGGGCTGCATTAGATGAACTCTAAGATCCCTTCCAGCTCTGTATCCATAATCCTTTCATCTTGTGACTGTGTTACTCAGTTTCCTCAGCTGTAAAATGAGAATTGTGAATTATATAACCTCTCAGTCTATGATCCTATATTTGAATTTATTTGTTTATAGCCCTCGTTTTATAAACCTGAGCAGGTCACTTTCCTCCTGTGGACCTCAGTTTCCTCATCTGTAAAATGAGGGAATCGGGCTGAATAGCCTCTGAGGACTTTTGCTGGTCTTTGTTTGTGATCCCTCACTGGGTCTCAGTTTCCTCATCTGTAAAATGAGAGAGTGGAATTAACGGACCTCTAAGGTCCCTTCCAGATCTACATCTATGACCCTATAATTATATTGCTGTGTGTATGGAAATAATAAAAATAATAATAGTGTTCATGTAATATAAACATTGCACAGCTCTTTGCATATATTGCATTTAATCCTACAACCATCCTGGAGTTGTGCTATTATTATAATCTGGGGGTTAGATACTATTGTCCCCATTTTATAGTTGAGGAAATTGAGGCAGACAGAGTGAAGTGACTTGCCCAGGGTCACCCAGCTAGTAAGCGTCTGAGGCTGGATGTGAGCTCAGGTCTTCCTTTCTCCACATCTAGCTCCATCACACACACCGCAGCCTTCTAGCTGCCCAACAAAGTTTCCATCATAATACCAAGCATGAGGGATGAAAAGGAAGGAATCCGGGTATTCATATCAAAACTGCAGAGTCACAGAATGCTGAAGTCAGTCAGTAAACAAGCGTTTATTCTTACAAAGAACCTCTGTGTCCAGTTAGTTCTCGGACCTATGCCCGAGAAGAATCCCCTCTGCGTCCTTCCTGACAAGTGGTCTGCCCACCTTTCCTTAAAGCCACCACTAAGGAGGAACCCTGTACCCCCAAGGCAGCCCACTGCACTTCGGGGACGCTTCCTGACATCCCTCCTTCTACTTTCTTCCCAGTGTTCCTGATTCTGTTGGCTGGGGCTGAGCAGAACAGGTCAAATCCTTCTAGCAGGCAGTAGCCCTTCGGACATTTAAAGACAGCCATCCTCTTTCCCAACCACCCCCGGCCCTGGCCCTGGCCCAACCCACCCCTCTCTAAATCCATATGTCTGATATCATACAGACCATACATTTGGCCATTTGGGCATGAATATATGTTAGTTTCTGATACTTGACATCACATAGACAGACACCCATCAGTGGTTTCTTTTTTAAAATATTGGTAACTCCTATGGTGTTTTCTGTCTTGAAGAAAACTTCCATCGTTGTGTTATCGACCACTGGTGCTCATGGATATAGCCTTGTTTTGGCCATAAAAATTCATCACAAAGCAAAATTATTTCAGCATCTTTAATATTGGAGGTAGATTGATAAATTGCCATTATGTTTGAAAATAATCCTTGGGGATTTTCAAAGTTTAGACAGGCTTATCTGTCTCCAAATGCACTGCTGTCCTTTGAGAGGATGTTTTGTTCATGAGAGAAAGGAGATTTTTCACTGGCATGTTCACTGCGGAAACCTGGAAGTGGGATGCCGACTGGTAACTTTGCGTGTGACCTATCGGCCCAGCGCTGACACAAGTAGTCCGTCATTTGACTCTGGAGTTATCTGAGTTGTAACCATAGATGTGTTCTAGACACATACTAACCCACCGGAAACCAAGAGTCCCAGAGTGGCTGGTACTGCCTTTTTGGCTTTCAGCAGGCTCATTGGGACTGTCCACCCACCTGGTCTCCAAAAGAAAAAATAAAGGCAAAGAAAAGTGGTTCACTAGGATCACAGGATCATCCAGTTAAAGCTGGAAAGGACCTTTGAGGACATCTAGTCCAACCCCCTGACTTTATGGAAGGGGAAACTGAGGCTTACAGAAGTCAAGTATGTTTTCCAAGACTTCACTTTTTAACAAGTATTAAAATTGAGATCCCCTTGGGCAGCCAATTATTGGAAGGAAGCAAGGACACAAGGAAATAAGCATTTATTATTTATTACATGCCAGGCTCTGTGCTAAGTGCTTTACAAATATTATCTTATTCTATCTTCACAATAGTCCTGTGAGGTAGGCACTATTGTTATCCCCATTTTATAGTTGAGAAAATGGAGGCAATCCAAAGCTAAATGACTAGCCCAGGGTCACACAGCTAGTAAGTGTCTGAGGCTGGATTTGAACTTGTCTTCCTGACACCAGACCCAGCACTCTGTCCATTCCATCACCTAGCTATCTGCCTTGTAACGTTCTCTTCATTTTCCCATGGAATGTGTAAGAAATCAACGCTGCTCTCTAGAGGGCAGAACAAATGTCCATGGACAGAAGTTGTAGAAAGGAAAATTCTGATTCATTTATCAAAAATGGTTTTCTGACTACAGCTAGAATGGGTTACTGTCCAGGGAGTGAGCTCCCCGTCATTGAAGGTATTCAAGCATAGGCTGGAGCATCTTTGGCAGGGAGTGTTGAAAGTGAGAGGTCAGACTAGGGAACACAATAGCACCTTCAAACCTCCAATAAATCATAAGTCTCTTGAGGAGGGAGATTGTTTCCTTTCTGTTTTTGTACTCCCAGCACCTGGAACATAGTAGGTGCCTCATGGGATGCTGGTTAAATTGAATTCTGTGAAGGAAGCAGAGATGACCTTCTGATGTTTCATGAAATGTTAAAAATAGACAATGAATCAACCGATATGCATTTATTCAATGAAAGGGTCCCAGCTCCAGAGCTGGAAGGGGCCACGGAGGCCACGTTGTGCAGCCCCCTCATGTTACAGCACTCAGCATGGTGCCTGGCACGTGGTAGCGACTTTTAATAAATGGTTGTGACTTATAGAGAAGACTAAGAATGACTTGGCCACAGTGACAAGCACACAGCAAGAAATGGGATTTGACCCCAGGCCGCTTCACTTTCAAGTCCGTGTTCTCTTCACTGTAGCATGCTGAGCATCTATGTGGAATAACAGGGCAAGAAGGCAGGATGAGAAGGCTTGAATTGAATAGCTACATTCAGAAAATTAAATGTGGTTGGTCTGATGAAAAAAAGAACACCATGCATTTATTAAATGCCTG